TTAAACAAGTCTAATATAATTAACAAATAAAGCTGACAAAAAAACTTCTTTTAGTTTCAAAAAAATATTTTTTTTGTAAAAACTGCAATTTCTAAAATAGAAATAAAAAATAGAAAAATGATAAAATAGAATATTGTATAATGATATTACATGGTATACTATTCTATTAATAATACCAATTATGACATTCAGAGGTTTACAAAATCACAATTCTAAATACCCACGTCACTATTTTGAAACCAAAATATTCATTTTCTCTTTTAAATTCATACGTTATAAAACCACATTTTTGACAATAATTATTATGGAAACACCTGATGACATTTTAACAAATAGTTCAAAGTCTAAAACAATAGTATAAATTAAAATTAATGACAAAAAAATTTAAGTAACTTATTTATAAATGTATTTAACTCGAGTATTTAAATATATTCAGACATTACAAATTGTGCAACTTTTTTCAAATAGCACAAAAGAATTTTCGTTTCCTCTACTGTTTTTTTCCATTATTATTTCAAATTGCTTTACATTATAAAAATGGCACAAATAAGAAACATTATCATAAAATTATGAAGAATTTAACAATTAGGCTAATCTTTAAATAAAAATAGTTAATTGGAAAAATGAAAATTCCAAAGTGTTATAAAACACTATTTTGTTAACTGTAAAAATAATTACATTAATTTTTTTATTATTTCTTTACCAAAATTATAACAAATATGCAAAAATTTATGATGTAATTATTTGTAATACAAATGTCAAAATATGTTGATTATATTACTTTTGATTTATTTATATTGTAAATCGTAAATATTAATATGATTTTAAATTGTATATTATATTATAAATATAATATATTCATAATATTACCAATTCATATTATTTATGTATAACAACATTGTTGTAATTGTTTCCTTTCGTTTTCAAATGTAAAGTATATGAAAAATTTTTCAATTGTTTTTGAAATGAAGAAAATGTTTTCCCAATAATTAACCATTCATATCAATGAAAATTCACAAAACAACATTTAACGAAATTATGTGGGAAACCAAGTGATATTTAAACTTTGAAATAATACATATTGTGATGGTTCTTGTTAGTATAATGTTGTTTGTTATTTCTTTTGTTGTGTCAAACACTTTTATTCTTCTCAGTTACACACTACGGAAGTGTAATTTGATTGCAAGCCACAACTCTCGAAAGATGTTCCATATTACTTTTGGATTGAGTCAAATAATATTTTGGCCATTGTATCCGGATGATCTAACAAGTCGCTTTCTTGGGACTTTTAATTGTCTGATTTACTCTTTTATCTTCTTTGTGATGGGTGAAGGGTATTGCAATGGCAGTCTATATGAAGTGCTCAAAGTTGTGTTATGTAGACAAAACGACCACAAAGAATTTTTGTATGGTCCACTGAATTACTGTGTCACCATCTCAGTAATTGCACTTATATTTTGGAGAACTTACCCACCGACTATCATTGGAATAAGTCTTCTTTTATGTGGCGATGGGATGGCGGAAGTGATTGGCAAGACAATTGGTAAAGTCAAGTTGAAAACCCCTTGGGGAAGAATAAAAACACTTGAAGGTTCTCTTGCTGTTTTTATATTTGGTGGTATTGGAGCACTTATTATGTGTTATATTGTATTCCACAAATTCTTTCTCTTTTACACAACATTTTTAGCATTGGTTGGGATGGTGGTTGAGTTTTACTCAATCCCTGAGTATGACAATGTACTAATACCACTTTCGTCGCTAGTTTTTGGCGTCTTTTTGTTTTAATAAATAACTTAATGTTCATAACATTTAAAATTCACAATATTATAATTAAACTCGTTTATTTATTATAATAAAAAATCAAAAATAGAATAACAACATTAATTTTGTTCAAAAACAGACAATATAAAAAATAAATATAACAATTTATTAACTTTAACACAACAATTTTATTGACAACAAATCACCCTTTATCTGACAAACCATTTTAAATTTAGTGTATAAATAAACAATATATTATACTTTGCACTTTTAATAATGTGATGTAAGATTAATTATTCTTTGTATTCAAATGTCGTGATAATCATATATATAAACATACCATTGTTGTTTCATAGAAAAAATGCATCACAGGAAGTTTTTTGTTGATAAATACAATTTTTGAAAATAAAAACTTCATTTTTGATTTTAGAAAATATAAAGGAAGTGTTACCAAAAGTATAAGAATTACATACTGTTAATTTATCAACCTAAAATTTTCCAAAAACACTGTTTTGTCGACGTATATTGTAAAGCATATTTTGACATTTCCTGTTTGTTGGATTCCAAAACACAGTCTTTTATTTTTTCAAATTGCAAATATAGCTGCCAAACAATGTGCTGTCGATTTTCTAACTAATCAAATGTTCAAATTAATTGACAAGATTTTCTTATGAGACATTTTTGTGTTTTTAATCCTTTTTTAATATAATAAAATGAATGACTTGTTTTCTTTTTATAACTTAAAAAACAAAAGTATTTTTATGATAAATTTGAAAATTGAAATATTTATTGTTTTTTATAATTATAAATTATTTGTCAATTTTAATATACAGGTCAAAAATTATTGTAATTATTTTTAACCACAATTCAAATTCTCAAAAAACAGAAAGAATAAAAGACTAAAATTTTGATTTTAACCGTTTTTCAAGTTTTAATACTTTTAAATAATAAAATTATAATACATGGTAAATACAAATCACCATCTTAGACAGAAGAATTTTTTTTAAAGAAAATTAATAGCTTTTGTGGTGAACAGTTGCATACATTTTTATATTCAAATTATTAATTTTTAAATAATCAAGTAAAATAATTTTTGATTTTTGCGTATTTATATATAGAAAAATATGAAATTAATATTAGAATCATAAAAATGTTTTTGATTAAAAACACCTTTGTTAAATTAAAGATAATTCTGATTTATTTTAAAAAATTTTGTTTGCAAAATACTTTACATAACACGTTAAGATAATTAAATTGTGTTTGTAATTAAAATATATTAATTAAAATTTAAAAAACCATTCAAATTAAATTTGATGATTGTTTTTATTAAATTAATAAATTTATAGTAAAAGCCATTAATATCATCATAGATTTTTTAATACAGTTTTGCAGATTATCCGTTCACAGTCTCTTGTTGTTAATTAACCTCATTTATAAGCACTACATGTCGTACCGTCGATGTTATATCCAATTTAAATAAGCAATTCAACTTGAAGTTGTTGTTGTGGTGCAAAGTCCACAATTTGAATCAACACATTTAGTGCATTTTGTCTCAACTAATATATATAATTCTGAACGTGTTTTAAACTGTAAAGGAGTTTATGCAAACACTGTATTAAGTATAATGTTTACAACTATTTGCCATATTTAATCCAAAATATCAATTGTTATTAAAAAATATCAAAACAATAATATATAAATTGTAGTGGTTCATCTTATTGTTTTTCAGTATTTACCTTTTGTGAACATATTAAAATTTTTTATTTGAATGTTGAATTAAAAAATCATGTAAGTAAACATAACTTATAATTAATCATGCAGATGGTCATTTATTCAACACGTTTTGAAATATCAAATTTACAACTCAATTAAATTTTTATAAAAACACAAAGTTAAATAGAAAAGAAATATTGGTGATATAGAAAAGTTTATCCTTTTCATATTTTTGAATATTCTTTACAAATTCGAAAAGTCGATTCTTATTTATTAATAAAAATAAAACCGGTAAAATAAAAAATAATCTGTATTTTGTTCAAAACTTAACAACAGTCTGTCAAAAAACAATACAAATATTAATTGCTTAATATTTGTTCCAAGTTGTTTAAAATTACAAACGGTAATGTGTGGAATATATTACATATAAAAACATAAAAAAACTGTTATTTAATCAAAATACTATAATTTATTATTTAACAAATTGTATCTTTAGTTTTAGTATCAGTCTTCCCGTTTGCAAAAATAGATTAATTATATATACAAATTATGGTTTATTTATAATAAATTATAAAAATTGTTATTAAGGTAAGAGTATTTAAGCGACACCAAAACACACCAAACATAAAATGCAAGCAGTTAAATGTGTCATAGTTGGCGATGGAGCTGTTGGGAAAACATGTCTTCTTATCAGTTACACCACCAACGCGTTTCCAAATGAATACATACCAACAGTTTTTGACAATTACAGTGCAACAGTGATGGTTGACTCAAAACCAATCAATCTTGGACTCTGGGACACTGCAGGGCAAGAGGATTACGACAAATTGCGCCCATTGTCATACCCACAAACAGATGTCTTTTTGATCTGTTTCAGTGTTGTCTCGCCGCCTTCATTCGACAACGTTTCATCAAAGTGGCAACCCGAAGTTGTTCATCATTGCCCCAAGACTCCTTGCCTCCTTGTTGGGACAAAGTTGGACATGAGAGAAGACAAAGATCAATTAAAGCGACTCGAAGAAAAGAAGATATCCCCGATCACCACTGAACAAGGTGAAGCTAAAGCCAAAGACATCAATGCAGTGAAGTACATCGAATGCTCTGCTCTTACACAAAAGAATTTAAGACTGGTTTTTGATGAAGCAGTCAGAGCTGTCATCTCCCCCAAAAATGATGCTCAATCAAAGAAACAAACTCAAAACAGGTGCATTTTACTTTAATTTATTTTTAATTTAATTCTGATTTAAACAACACAAACATCTAATACAAACTTTTTTAAATGTGATATTAAAAACATTTTTTTATAAAAATTATTATTGTTACAAAATGAGTTACCAATTTTTATTAAATTTGAAATATGAAATTACACAAATTTATTGTTTGTCTTAAAAAACGCGGCTTTCAGAGTAAAATATTGATTTTTAAAAAAATTACTTGAAAATAACTGCTTTTTTTTCCTTATTTTTAACAAAAATATTTTGAATTATATTTAAACTATATTTTATAGTAAAATGTCCAGTACCATATTTTTGTTTTTAGTTTATCTTGATTTCTTAAAATTAGAAACATTTTTTTATTAAAAGAGTATTTGATTTTTTTATTTATAATAATCAATTCTTGTTTTTAATATACAGTCAAAGTGGCTTATTTGTAGGTTTTCGTATTTATGGGTTTTGCTTATTTGTGGGTTAACTGACCAATCAAAATCAAAACATACAAATAGGTTGTATCTTCTCGAAACTGAATAATTAATTGAAATCAATTAAAATAACTTTATATTTAATTTATCGATAAAAATAGTTTTTTACGCGATTCAGGGTCTATCACGTGACAAAAGTGTTTTTTCTTTGTTATTAGCCACGTCACCAAAGTGATCTTGAATTTATGTTCACTTAGTTCTTTTAGATCTAGCGGCGAGCTTAAAGCCGACTTTTGTAAATGAAAAAACTTAGAAATAGATAGTTATTTTAATCAATACTTGGCCAAGTAATGGGAAAACATGCCAATTCAAATTTTAAACATCGGTTTATATTTTATTACTGCTGTGATTGCAATAATATACACAATAATTGTGACAAATGCAGCACTGTTTTACACATCAAACCGATAGTTACAAATAACATTTTAATAACACAAATAACAATGAAATAACAATCTATTAAATAATTGTATTTTTATTAATAATATGTAATAAAATAAACCTATTCAACTTAAAATAAAGCTAAAAAGCTAATAACTGATAATTAAAAATGCTATAAAACGACTAATAATAATAAATAAAGGTTTATTTTCATATTTATATTTAACGTTACTAACTAAATATTTATATTTAAAAACTATATTAAATAATAACAATCAAACTCAAAAACTCAAAAATGTTTGTTAATTGATAAATATACTATATAACAAATAATATCAATACTATAGTTTTAAACTATACAAAGTGAAATAATGTATTAATAATTAATTAAATTGTTTAGTACATGATTTATATTTATAAAAACCTAAATATAAACTTATAGTTCAAATTATAACTTAATTTATTATTAATATATTATTAACAAAACTAGTAACAATAACCATAATTAATTACAACACAATTTCAATTATAACACAATACAATAGCCATAACACTTGACTCGATCAATTCACAACGATAATACAATGATATCATAAAGAGTGTAATGTTCATAGACATAAGGCGATGTTCAATAACATGACAACACACTCAAAGAAGAAATGTAATGATCAAAGACATAAGATAATACTCAAAACAGGACAAGCTACTCAAAGACAATAAATATTATCAAATAGACAATGCAATAGTCAAAGACAAAGCAAATGATTCAGGGACTGTATAAGATGTTCATGAATCAATAGATAACAAGTATTTATCTAATTGTTAATCATAACTTATTTATGCAATGAATAATAATACATTAATAACATAGTGTTTTTATCAAGATAAATATCAAATTGATATATGATATATAATGATAACCACCAATTGGTCTATTAACAATAGTAATTACAACAATGATAGCAACGGAATTATATAATACATCAAAATGTTATGATAATAGATAATAAAACAAACATTCGGGCGTAATCATTAAATTTTTAAATTAAAAAGTTCCAATGTTTTAACAGTTAGGTTATAACAAAATAAACTATTGCAATAATATGTTAATTTTTTTATATCAACTTACTATAAAAAATAATATTAATACTATTAAAAAATAATATGTTTATTTTTAAAAAACTTAATAATATAATATTTTAATGTTTATAGAGTCAGTCTTTAAATGTTATCTCGTCTCAAAGGTGATCTGGTGGACAAAAATAGCTTTAATTTTGTTTAAATATCAGGCATTGACGACATAATCGAGTCGGTGATTTAGTCAACAGCTTCTCCGCATGGCATATAATCGTTTCCAGTATGTTTGATCATCCAGTTCAATCTTTCTTTAACTACGCCTGCATGATTGTCGAATTCGTTGTAGAGCAATTCAGCCCAACTCATAAACGTTGTGACAACTCCCCATGGTGGGCTTACTTCACCAACTTTTTTTTCTTTCATTATTCCACTTTGAAGAATAAAAGTATGAGTCTTGTGGATATCTTGCAAAACCGTATTCAAGTTTGGTGTTGAACTTTCTGATGTTATCAAAGTGTTTTTTATCTTTATTTGATCGTTTACAATGTCACTGAACGCCATAGTTGCAGTCGCTGTGTCGATGATCACTTTCTGCTTTTTGTTGTCCAAATGGCTTGGACGAAGTGTCCTTTCTCTTCATTCCAGAACAATCTCTCAAATGAAGTTGATAGGTCAACGCTCTCCTTCTCAGTAATTCAACTCTTTTAGTATATTTGTAATACTTCTCTTCCATCATAGCAGCCGCCAACAATCCGTGGTGGCCTTGAATTTGTGTGAATCCATAATACTGCAGTGGGACACTTAAGGAAGTCCATGCGTCGATATTCCCCTCCCAAATCGAATAGTCTGGCTTAATAATATTCTTCCAATCTCGATACAACAAGAAATTAATCCAAATTTCTAATTCGTTGTTTGACTGTTTCTTCCTTAATTAATCCAGTTGTTTGTGTCATTTGTGTGTAATAGTAATACACACATAAAACAACACCAACGGAATCACGTTGCGATTCAACAAACCCCACATATGTCCCATCTTAAGAGCTGTATGTCGTTGCGAAAAATTCACCTTCTCGAAGCCCCGCTTTTTTAAGCCATTTCAAAAACTTTTCTGTCACCAACAAATTCAGTTTTCGTATGACAGAAAACTGAATTTTTTAGTATAAACATTTCAAACGTTTATAACATATAACAATAAGTATTATATTTTATTATAATTTAAAACGAGACAGATTTTTTTCAACTGACTTGTTTTTATAGTACTTTTATTTAATAGTCTTTAACATTTTATTAATAAAATCAATAATTATTATCATAATTGTTAATTTAAAATAATTTAATTGTGATCTATATTAAAACACACCAACAAACAAACAGATTGACAGTTTTTAAGTAAATAAAGTACTTATAAATATAATAAATATATAATTCAATAATAGCTTTGATAAAATTTACAAAAAGACTAAACAATAGAATGAAGATAATTGCAGTAGTTTTGTTTCAAACACTCTGTTTACGCATCATTGATGAACAGAATAGTTTCACTTATTATTTTTGCGAATAATAACTCTTCTGTTTTATCAAAGTAGTGCATTTTTATAAAACAACCTAAATTTATCAACAACACCAAGTATCGTGATTCAATGTTTTGTTATAGTCCATTCTATTACATTTTTTCTATATTAATTTGGTATATTAAACCATCATTTGATGTTTGAAAGTGATGAAAAGCAACAATAAATCAATTTTAACAACTAATCGCAAGGTGACAGCTTTGTTCTAATTAATTTTACTTAACATTGTTGAGAGAAGTTTGGTATATAACAAATTTTATTTTGATGAGTTAAATTATTATTTAATCGTCATTAAACAATTTCTAATATTTTATAATATTATCAATTATAATTAATAGTTTTATTTTATATAGTATAAATATTATATTAATAAACCATTTATTTGTATACTATACATTTTAACATTTTATAGTTTTGTTGTTAACTGTCGTTTTAACATTAAAAATGACCGCGGCAAAAAATTTCCATCTGTAAAGAAAAGGTTTTGGAGATCGCAAAAACAAACATAACTATGAATTTTACTAAAACTACTTTATTTTTGGCATAAAAACAAATAAAATATACCCCTTTTCATTTTAAAATGCATTTTTGGGACAAGTTCCAAATTTTTCCCTGTTCCGTGATAGACCCTGCATGGAATAAGACTTCTTTTGAATTTTTTAACTCATTTAATCTAATTATTTTAAATTTCTGTTAAAATGGTTTCAATATTTAATAATTGTTTTTATTTTTTATTTAAAAAATACTATAATTAATAATATTTTTGATTGATAATACATTTGTGGTACTGAGGTTTCGACATATAATTAATAATTTTTATACCATTGAATAAATTAAATATATATGTTATATTTGGACGATTTTTTGAAAATAATTGAAAACATTGTTTATTATTATTCAAATAGTATTCAAATAATAAAACGAAACCTTAGTATTTGTCTAAACTTTAGTCTCATATCAGTATTTATATAAATTCAGTCTTAAAACTATAATAGTAAATTTTTGGACCATTAAAACTGGAATATTACGGGAAACTGTTGAAAAATCTCCAAAAACACTATTATTTAATTTTATTTGGTTTCCCAACTTTTTTTAATTCCTATTTTTTAAGGCTTATTTTGTGTATTTATTTTGTCACGCAAACAACAATTTACAATAGACTTTAGTAAAAGACTAAAAACTAAAAATATGGTTATTTTTATTATTTTTTGATGAGTAAAATAAATCAAAGAATATTCTTCGAAATACTTAGCAAAACCTACAAATAGACAGCTTTTTATGCAAGAAAACCCACAAATAAGCGACTTTGACTGTATCGTTTGAACGCTTAAATTTGGCACAAATGAATTTAGAAAACCCGCATTCGTTTTATCTTTTTTCTTTCATTTTACAATCTTTTACTAAAAACAACTTTTTTGCTTTAAAAACATCAGACAATTAACAGATATTGTGCTGCAGCAATTGGAGATGTTTATGATGCAAGGAACTTGGAAATTGAACTGAGAAACTTGGAAACTCGACATGAAAGAGAACGTGTACATATTAATACAAAAACCACAAATCCACTTTTTGATAAAATTGATGGTGTGGTATTCATGGAATTGATACAAAATGCATTTTCTGTTGTTTCAGAACAAAACTGTACCAATTATCACCTTCACATGTTGAAAGTTGCTTTTTGTTGTACTCTTGAAATGACACTAGAAAACAACGATAAATTTACACGCGATGTTGAGATAACCGATCTTGTATTATCTGCAATTATTGATTCCTATTGTGATAATTGATTATTTTTCGAAATGACAATTACTATTTTTTATTACCGAACTTTTTAGTGAATTGTGTTTTGCTTTTTGGGACAAAATGGGATTTTCCAATATGCCAGATTTAAGCTTACAAACAATAATAAACAGAAAGAATAATAAAATTAGAGTTTTTTATTATAATAATTTTAATTATCAATTTAATTGTTTTTTAATATAATATATTTAATAAATGAATTTTAATAATTATCTTATTGATAGAAAATATTTTGTATAACATTAATAACTCATTTTAGCATTTTATTAATCTCCAGTTTATCGCAATATTTGAACGCTTCAAACCCTATTTCCACAATACTGTTGTTGGTGTTGATTTTTGTTAAATTTTTGCAACAATAAAAACATTGTTGACCAACACTGGTTACACAGTTACCCAATGTTACACTTTCTAGTTTCTTACAATTGTAGAAGCAGCTATTTCCAATTGAAACGACTCTATTTGGAATATTGATATCAATAAGAGAGTTGCATTGACAAAATGTATACGGTTGCAACACTCGAAGATTGTTTGGTAACACCACTCTTACAAGGTTTTGGCAACTATAAAAACAACTTCCTCCGATAAAAGAGACTTGATTTGGAATGTCTATTGATTTCAAAGTATTGTCGTTGTAATAGCAGTTGATGTTAAGTGATGTAACACTTTGTGGTATTACTTTACCAAAACTGTTTTTGTCGTCTTGTGTGTAACAAACATTAAAGAACATAAACACGCCTTTAATGTTTAACAAGTAGTCTTGGTATGTAATTGGATAGAAAACTCTAACACGGTAAAACGACTTTAATGTTTCAGAAAAGACCATCTTTTTAGGAATTATAGTTTTGATGTGATTTCCAAATGTCTCATCTTTTTCGTTCCATAAATTGAGAGTTTCAATGGATGGTAAATGTTTTATTGTTTTGTTCGTCAGTGGAATTGGGTTAAAATGGAACTTTTCCATATTCCCTTTAAACTTTTTGCAGACTATTTCTAAATTGACAAAGTCGGAAAACGACATAAAGTATTTTGAGACAATCATTATGTGAAATGAATCTAAAGTTACCATAGACTTTTTTATTAGTTTAATTTAGTAAATCAAATATTCGTTATATAATTATTTTATATTAAGTTCAAAAAATTAATTTATAATTATATTATTAATGTCAATCAAAAGTAAATTGATAAAAAAAAGACACATTTACATATTTATTTGAAAAAAAAACGTTAAGTGGTGGAAGATAATCGCAATGATAATCAATATAAATTTAGAGGCCCATTATGTCGGATAAGACTTCTATTTCTGGAATCTTTTAAATGTAATAGAATGGATCTTCTGGTCTTAGTTTTAATGAACAAAAGAAACAACCATATTAGTTTTTTATATTTTCAAAACAATTTATTATGTATTTGAACTGTTTGAATTGCTAATGGTTGTTTTAATTAAAACAATTAAATATATAATAGTTAAAATATTGATAAACATATTATACATAAACTACTGTTTTTTAAAAAAAGGATGTGAAAAAACCGATCAATTTATTCCTCAAAAACAGCAACTTTTCTCTGTTGAATTTTAGACATAGACATATTTATTTCTTTGAGTGAAATAAAAAGATCGTTGTTGTTTCTTGTAAGTGTGTCTCTGATGATTTGAAGAGGAATTTTCTTTCCAAAGTTCATTTGGATAGCAACTAGAAGCTCGAATGGGTATTGATATTCTTCTTCGATGATTGAGTCCATTGTGTTCTGATTATTAGACGCTCCCTTATAAATCGCCTTTTGCCTTTTTCACTCATTCTTGTTTGTCTTTTCATTCTTTCCATCATTGTAACTTTCTGTTTATTATTTGACTTTATTTTTCATTTTTTGAAAAAACATTTCAATATTTAATATTGAAATAATAAAAAAAAAACTATAAAATAATTATAATTATAATTTTAATTTATAATTTCTATTTTTTATTGTAGTTAATAATTATAGCTTAATAATAAATAAGTACCATAATCATTAAGATGTTTAAGTTTTTAACATAAAAAATTTCTTATTAAATATCAATTTTTTAATTTTTTTACAATTATTTGTTTGTTATCTATTTAATAAAATTATAGTTATTATACTATTAATATTTGACTCAGAAATTAAAGAAGCACTCTACTTACTCCAAAAAGATGATAGGGACATCCTCTCGTGGTACTTGACTGGTGTAGTGGTATAAAGGAACACCCATAGCTAAACACCCAACCACTTTCTTTCCTTTCAGTCCAACAATATCAAGACACTCATTGAACGAAAACATGAACTTTAACAAGCCACACCAAAGAGAGCCATACCCTTTGTTGGTTGCTGCAAGTTCAAGTTGGGTTAAAGCAATAGTTCCATCGTCATTTGCCCAAACGTTTTGAGAGTCGTCGACGTAAGCAATAACAACATGTGGAGCCTTTCTGACGATCAAATCGACACTCAAAAAGTTACCAAAGATATTAACGATTTCTGGAATCTGCAATGCTATTTCGTTTATTTTTTAATTACATCTGTTAGCTTTGGCTCATTTATTACAAGATATTTGATTGGTCTCCAATTCTTGGCGGAAGGGGAGAATCTTGTCAGATTGATAAGTTCAGTCAATTCTTCTTTGGGGATTGGGCCTTTAAAAGATCTTGTTGATCTTCTTGTCTTTATAGCGTCTATGACATCTTTATGTCCTTCTGGAACGTTTTCAAGTGGTTTTTCAAAGAGAGTGATTGCTTTGCTTTTACAAATTGAAGAACAGTGTCCACATTTAAAACAGTTTGAAGCTTCTTCTTCCACAATCGTGATCTTGTGGTTTTCCACTTTGAGACATTGTGCTATGCAGTCACGTGCACACATACCACATCCTCTGCACAACTCAGTGTTAATCTTCAAGCAACTCATTTGATGAATTTTTTATGTCTACATGCTTTTTATACCATTTACAGTTTTTCTATTTTTACGAATTGTTCAAAAATAAATATTATTGAAATTATCCCGTTTTTGTGGGGGTCAAAAATATAGGTTTTCAATAAAAATACAATAAGAAGTTCAATGAAGTTTTTATCTGTAGAGGTGTTAAGATTTTACAAATTATAATTAAAGTATTATCAATATATTACATATTTTGTTGTATAATAAGTAATTAATATTCCAACTCGAACCCAGTGTGGTGGGTATTTTTTAATTCATCACTTGTTTTAGTCATCACACCGGTTGTTGAATTGGTTATTTTTTGTTCAGTATTTTGTCAAAAGATCTTCAATGAAATCATTGGAGGCAAAAGTTACCACTTTTAAAATAAAACGAATGTGAAATTTGTGAGTCTTCGTGGTGGTGTCGTTGTGAACACAATAATAGTTGATTGTAATATTTATATTGAAGAAATCAAATTGTGAAGAAACGCGACACTTCTTATATGTTAGCAATTCAAGTGAACGTTAGATGAAGGTGCAGAAGTCTATGGAAGCATGTGTTAAACTGTTTTCACTTTAAATCATTCCGAGTGTTGTGCCGCTCCATAAAGGGTGTGAATCAAAATTTGAACTGTTTTTGACATTGAATTACACAACAAAGATAAACACAACAAAAGCACTTGTTACGAAGTCAATTGAAAGTGGTGATGAAACAATCAACGTGCCGATAACCAATGTGACATTCACAAAGGGTGTTTGAACACCAATTTACATAGCACCAGAAATTCTAAACCAGAAAAAACACAAAAAAGAGTCCGACAATTCAACAAATTAACATATGAATTTTACCCATTTTCTAATTTAAAATGTTTTTTGCATTATGTTATTTTTTTCTTAATGTGTGAATACTTCTTATCAACCCAAACTAACTTTTTGCGTTAACTTATTGACCTTTCATTATATTCCATCATATATATTAAATTATCATTGCAGGATGTTATAAAAGAGCTGATTTGAGAAATATTTTTGTAAAAAAAATATTTATTTGGGTTTCTTTTCGACGACCATTTTGTGTGTTTTTAAATTTTATTTCCAATAAAAATAGTTTAAAAATTGGGAATTAGGTTATGAATCTTTAAAAACGGTAAAAAACTGAAACAATGATTATTTTGTTTCGAAAAATTTCCCGATATATTTAGTAATTAATTTATAAAATTGGGGACAACGCAGGACAAAAAACAAGGTTTAAAGAATGACATTAATTGAATAATGTAAATAGTTATGTCTAATAAAAATGTTAATAATTCGATAATATAATTTTTTAAATATGATTATATTTCTTCGAAATAACAAAAGCAAATGTTTTTTATTTGATATATTAACAAACTCATTTTATTAAAATACAAAATGCAACACCTTGAAATGTTTTATTTGGCACAAGTCTCCCTCCATCTTCCAACGATGATAGACGTTGCAAACTTTGTTCAAGTGAATCACAAAGCTTGTGAATCAATTTCTTGTTTAAAAGTAAGTCCATGGTTTACTGCAAAAGAGGACATTGAAAAATTTTGTTCTATTCACACGACTGACACCATCAACTGCAACTCCTTTAATATTTCAAAAGAACTTTTGAATAAAGCCACTTTTATAAAAAATAAATAAGTATCATATGAGGAAACAAAGGATTTGATAACATCAGAATTTTGCAGTAAATTTACCACATTCATTTTGATGGAAAGCGTTGAAATTAATCCAGAAATATTTTCACAAATATTTAAAATTGTAGTCGACTCCAATGTTACCAAAGTCAAAATGACAGTCCGAACATTTTACAACTTTCTCTTGTATATAAAAGAATCTGTTGACATTAAAGTTCAACGCAAGTTGTTTAAAACGGCATTTTTGTTCTTCCAACCATTTAAGAGTTACACGACATATATGGGGGATCGAGACGAAACTTCTGAAATGTTTGAGAAAATTAATGAAGCCGTTAAAACACTTTCCTGTGAGATATACATAGATTGGTCTGATGAAAAGGGATTTGATCAATATGTCAGTCTCACGCCAAACTGCAAGAATTACACTTCGACGATATTTTTAGATGTATTAGACACATTCCGTCCAATCTGTAACAACGGTTTAGTGACAGTCAACACAACAGGATTTAGAAAATTGATAGAGACGACTAAACTTGAAAGTGTCATTCGTAATTGTTACCCGACACAAATAGAGTTTGTTGGCAACTGAATTGATATGTCACAAATGCAGTTGGATAACACAGTTGAAGTCTTGAAAATAGAATACATAGAACCACGAAACGAAATGGAAATGGGTAATAATACTAACGAGTTTACACTACCAAAGATATTAAATGTGAAAGAAGTGATCAGTGTCAATACGCAAATAACATTTTCTAACACGTGTCCTTCAGTAAAAAAGGTCACACTTGAAAACTTTGCTTGTGAAGTAAAAACTACCAGAAAAGGTGTTAAAAAGGTGTGGGAAAGTATACCAAATTTTCCATTTGTTTGTGTTGAAGAAATGTCAATTAAAAATTTGAGAAAGGAAATTGACTTTATGATGTTAAAACAGTTGAAGAAGTTAAATTTGGAATTCACAAACAACTGTGACGTTTTTGTGAATAAAAACTGTGCCAATGAAATTAATATGATTCAATTGAATAATTGCACGGTGACAATCGACGCTGAAGAACACAACGATTTTTCTTTTAATATGTTCACAAATACAAATTTCGTGTTTTTGAACGACAAAGACTTGAAATTGCATTTTAAAGGTTGCCAAAATATAAGTGTGACAACACAAAAGGTTATCAATTCATTAACACTTGATGATTGTGTCAAACCAACGGTATCAAGCAAAGTAATTAATTTGATTGTGAACAAATCAAAACTGACAAGTTCACATCAAATCAGTGCAGAGAATATAACACTCTGTTCAATCAAAGACTTCATCCCAATAAGTTTTAAAGAAACAAAAAATGTGTTTTTATTTAACATGAACAATTTTGTATTCAAAAATACGTTCGAAAATTGTACGACTCTGAAAGTTGATTACTGCGACAATTGTGAGTTTTTGTTTGAAGCAAACAAGTTGGAAACACTTTCACTTAACAGTTCTAAAAACATTCAATTTGTTGGCAATTTTGACTCAATAAAAAATTGTGTTGTTTCAAATAATTCAACCTTTAAATTCCCATCAGAACTTAATTCAATTTGTCACAAAGTTCAAAGTAAAAATGAAGATAATGTTTGTGTCACTGAGATGATGACTTATGAAGAATACAATACAGCTAAAGATAAATTAGTCTCATTATATTCAAGAATGACCAATAATAACATGCGCAACTTGGACACAAAAACTGAGACTTTTGAGACAAAGGATGTAGTGATCGACCACCCAAATTTTGTATTAAAAAATTGTGTTTGTTCGCCCAGAAAGTCAATTCATTTGATTCAAAAAATTGATATTTTAAACTCTGTTAAAATTGAAAATTACTGTGGGAGTTTATCGAATTTGCGCAGTGTCGTTTGTGGGACTTATGAACTTGTGAATTACATTAATCCAACACCGGGAGGCCTTATTCTACTTGGCGCACCCAATGTCATATTTAAGAAGTGTACAGATTTGGGTTTTATGTTGGATAGCGCCAATAGGTCGATTTCAATGTACGACTCATCTATAACACTTAATTTTCAAATTGGAAACAAAATAGAAATGTTGATAATTAAAAACACAACAATTAACAATTTTAGTGGTCAACAGTTTTCTGAAAAAGATGCCGTTGTTAAGATGGAAATTGACAATTCGCACATCCCTCAAAATTTATATTCTCTATGTTCAGAAGAATTGATTGAGAGTAATATCACTGATTTTAAAGAACAACAAAACGTTAATGCTCAAAGAGTGAAATGTGAACACTGCGAAAATATTGTTTTGAATATTGAAAGTGAGACTTCACATGTTGTATTAGAGCAATGTAAAAAGTGTTCTGTTGCTATAAAAGTAAATGAAAATGTTCAAATTGATAATTGTGAAAATATTCATATTGTTGAAAACAAACAGTTATTACCACAGAACGACCAATATGCTGATCAAAATCGAGCATTTGGGTTTGGGCAAACACGACCTATGTTTTTCCAAAATCAACACACCCAATTGTTTTTAAATGGATTTAAATAATTGTGGTAATTAAATTTTATATTTGATTAACAAGTTATATTTTTGTGCGTTTTTTTATTAACTTAATACCCGAAAGACAATTTTGCTTATTATTTTTGTGGAATATAGATAGTTTAAATATAAAAACATTTTTATTGTTTAATAAAAAAACAAATTTAAATACAAATTGTTTATATTAACCTTAGGAAGTGAAAATTGGATATTTTATATTAGGATTAAGGTCAGTACGGAAACCTGATTTATTCTGTTAACCTTATTTATCGAATATGACTGGTTGATTTTTTTACAACCCAAAAACATAGAAGCTAAGCTTTTTTTCATCAACGAATAAAACGATTTATTTGGTACTCGACGTAAACAAAAAATAATATTGATATGTTCAAAAACATGTTACCGAACACGCATTAAATGATCAAATACGACAATGAATTAAACAGCTATAACTGAAAATATAAAACAACGAAAATCAAAGAAATAAGCTGCTTCGTGAGCTTCGAGGAAAGAAAATCGTGGAGTTTCAGACAGCCAGTTTATCAAGTAGTTGATTTTCAAAAAGACTGATAACTTTACTTGAAGTTTGTTAACATTATTTTCTTATTATTTTGTTCAAATTTATTACCAAATCAACTGTATTTATTCACTTTTAGATGTTTGAAAATGATTGGTCAAATGGTCTAAATCTTATTTATGTTATTGGTTGTGTTATTGATTATTTAGTTTTGGAATACAGTTGGGCAAACAAACATTCGCCGAGCAAATGAACCTTATGATTTCAGCGATAGCCTTCTCGTACTTGCCTTTAATCAAATAAATCTAAGCGTGGTCTTTGTTTTCTTGATCAAGTTCAGTTCTAACGCTCTTCAGTTTGTCTTGGTATTTCTATTTCATCGCTTTATTGTCATCATTTGCAGTGTCAAGTTGCTTCTGTGACTTGTCGACTTCGGCATTCAAGTCGTTGATCATTTTGTCCATTTTTTCCAAATCCTTCTTCTTCTTCTTCTCATCAGTAAGTTGATCAACTGTCGAGTCATTCGCTTTTTAGTCAATTTTTATTCAGTGTTATTTGCTTCATCTAAGTTGAACTGGACTTATGTAATTTGCTATCAGCAGGCTTTCAAAATGCATCTGCACTATCAGCCTTCTGTCTTTCTTCATCGAGTTTGGCTTGAATTTAAGTTATTATTGCATTCAACATGTTCTTCTCTTCTTCTTGAGCAACAGAAGCTGGTGCACTGACTTGGACTTTAAGTGACGAGACTTGTGCATTGAGTGTTTTGACTTGGTCTTCCACATTCTTTTTTCTATCAGATTAGTTGAGAAGCTGAGGCAGTCTTTTTCATTAGTTTTGTCGTTCAAAGTCTTCTTCTTTTGTGCTTCAAGTGCCTTAATCTGTGATTTATAATTCTCAATCTTCGAAGCGTCTTCAATTGCTTTTTTATATCCTTATTAGCAGCATCAAGTTGAGTGTTCTGGTCTTTCAACGCAGCAACCATTTTCTCCAAATCAGCAATTTGAAAGTCTCTCTTGATAACCTCTGTTTGGTCAATATTTGAAGTCCCAACTTTATCTTTAGGGTCTTGAAATTGTTGTTCCAAATCTACTATTTTCTTCTTGTTTTTAGTTGTTCTGTCTCTTAATTCATTCAACTTCCTTTTTTTTGCTTCTAAAATAAAAAAAATATTAATGCACTACAATAAGTCAACTATATTATTTAACAATACAATAAAAAAGTATTATAAAATGTAATTAAAACAATTAAAATAATTTAATATAAATTATTGAAACAATTATTAGTTATTTATTAATAATACAATACAATATAATAATGTAATCCCATAATTTCAAATATAACTAAATTTATAAACATTACTAATTCAAATTTCAAAGCGATGAAGTTTATAAAGTAAACCTGAATATTTATATGATGATGGTTGTCACGTATAGACCGAGCTTTTTTATAAAAATCATTGACCATTTTATAATATAAAAAATGTTTTTTTTTATATTCTATTGACCAATTTATAAAATAACCAACCAAAAACAAAATTATAAAAATACAATAAATAGAATTAAACTTCCACAAGTCGTATATAACTTTGTTGTGTTATTGAATAAACTCCAGTGACACCATTCAAAGTTGGTGCTTGTGTAATTATAAGCGGATTTTCTGTTGGTTGTGATTGTAATAAGAACTCGCTTGGTATTTTAAATATTGACACTATAGAAAGTTGACTCATGTTATCTACATTAATTCCTTGTGTCACAAAAACGTCTCCCAATTTGACAATTTTGTTACTCTAAGTCACAGAATTGGCATTCAAATTGATATTGTGTTCTCCTTCACTCAATCCAATATAAATGTCGTTCTTCGTGCTTAACGACAACACTTTGTTCAACGCAATTTTCAATTCGAATAATTTTAAATGTTATTTCTTCACATTTTGCAGCTCCCCGATTTTTTTTTAATTTTCAGAAACTCTCAAAATTGCGTTTAAAATAAGTTTCTCATTGTTCAAAATGTTGTAAGTAAAAAATAAGAAAATAGTCACTCACAGTGACAAATTTCGTTGTCAAAGATCCATGTAGTGTCACTTCACTGTTAGCCGCAACTTCCATTCCATCTCAAAGAAAATAAAATTTAATAATAAATTAAAAAATTTAATTTTACACACTTCGCATTCAACATTTTCGGTGTTGTTCCGCCATTATTAAGATGATTTTACTGAAATCAGCAATTCGATTGTACACGACATTCCCTTCCAAAATTAACGTGTGACTCTCTACCTCCCCAGCCTTCTCGCAGTCCTCACAACTGTACTTTCCATCGAAAATGCACTCACAACTTATTAAAGAAGTTTCTAACACAAATTGCAACTCTTCGAAAATTTCACAAGCAACTTTAATTCGTCGTACGAAAAACTTGGATCCTTTGAACTGCCAAAAACAGAATGTTGTTGTCGTCAAATCCAATTAATGGTGTTGTACTCGCACCAAAATTGCCAAAATGGTGTGAACGCCCAAATTTGACACTTTCTGTCTTTTCGAGTGTCAAATTTGAAAAAGCGAAATTGCCAATAAAGACGACTTGTGTTGTTGGAAGAGTCACATTTTCACTCAACACAATTTCACTGTTCGTTTCGATTTGTAACGTTTTCGTGCGCTTTTTGGTATTAAAACTCCTCCAATAAGTCGCATCGTTTCCTTTAAAACCCACAAGTGGACTTTACTGGTAAACCGTACAACTAAATACACAGTTTATTATTTATTTATAATATAATAATTTATACTATTAAAAGTGGTAAAAAACAAAAACAGTTTTATATCAAGAAAAACCGGTTTATAATTTATTCAAAAGGAAATAACAATTATAAAAATCAATAATAAGTTTTTTATTTACTTTTTAATTATTTTTATATTCATTGTCTTTTTGTTATTCCAACCCGATTCACAAAGTCCACAAGTTTATATTTGAGAAAGTTATATCTCCAAATCTAAAATAAATCAATTTTAGTAACCAAAACGATTAGCAACAGTTTGATAAAACGAATTTGTCCTTTTGTCAAAAATGACAAATTTGATTGTAAAATATGCGATATATAAAATATCATATATTGTTTAGTTATAATAATGCTTTGATTACCAAAGTTAATAAATTACTCTTTTCCATTTTATTATTATTTTAATATTTTTTAGTTTTATTATAATAAAACGAAAGAACAAACTGAATACTAATAACTAAACTACAAAAAAACATTATGTAAAAATAGTTTCTACAGAAACAAATTTCTAGTTACAAAATAATTGTTTATAATTCGACAAACTTACCTTAAACAGCAGGGAAAATATATTATAAATTATTATACCTATATGTTCTATTTTTATTTCATTTTTGTTCTTTTCTCTTGTAAATGTTCTTATTATTTACTACAATACTATCGTAAAAGTGTTACTATAGTATTATTATAGTATTATTATAGTATTAGTTTAGAAAGACGACACATCAATTCAAAACAACACTCCAAATCGATCTTATACATACAACGATGATTTCATGGTTCAACATTTCGTTTAGTCGCCAGTGATTTTTATGTTGTTTTAGTGTGCTTATAGCCGTTGGTTAGTATTTTATTATTTAATAACAGAACCGACTCATATTGTCTTCTGTAATAAGACAACAAGATATGTTTCTTTGGAGTCGTCGGTTTTGGTTGTTATTTGACGAAATAACTATCGACAGCAGTGTCACCATCGCGAAATAAATTACTTGGCAATGTGTCCTTTAGTTAGGTCTTGTTGTTATTGGTGGGTGTTTTGCGATCTGGTTTTTCATTGGGGCTCTCCGTTTTCCAAAAAAAGAATTTTATTAGCAACATATTTAATTTAAAGTGATCGATGTTATCAATATTGCCGTTGTTGTATTTTTCATATTGAATGTATTTTTTTGTTTTGATGCTTTGCCTAATTTATGGATTTTTACTTTCAATTCAGAACAGGAGAAAACGACAATTTGAAAAGACAGTTTTTTGAGTAAATAATATAAATAATAATATAGTATATATTGTAAGAATTTAAATTAATATATAGAACAAATGATGTATCGATACAACAATTGACAAACACGATAAGTACGTGATGTGTCAATATGAACAACAGTTTGTGCTCAAATGTTTAATTTGTGTAATAGTTGCATTATAGACTCGGAAGAAAAAGAATACCACTCCATCTTCTTTTCAATTGTGTGTTCGTTTCTTGTTCTTGTATTGTCATTCTTGACTGTAGTGAATAACTTCAGTTCTTGTCAAAATGCTTAATATCGAAATACCAACACAACAAAGTTATATACGACTTGTGGAAGTTTAATTCTATTTATTGTATTTTTATAATTTTGTTTTTGGTTGGTTATTTTATAAATTGGTCAATAGAATATAAAAAAAAACATTTTTTATATTATAAAATGGTCAATGATTTTTATAAAAAAGCTCGGTCTATACGTGACAACCATCATCATATAAATATTCAGGTTTACTTTATAAACTTCATCGCTTTGAAATTTGAATTAGTAATGTTTATAAATTTAGTTATATTTGAAATTATGGGATTACATTATTATATAGTATTGTATTATTAATAAATAACTAATAATTGTTTCAATAATTTATATTAAATTATTTTAATTCTTTTAATTACATTTTATGATACTTTTTATTTGTATTGTTAAATAATATAGTTGACTTTGATTAACGAATCCCCACACTACTCATTAGCTTTAATGAATAACATAAATCATTGTGTTGTCTGTAAAACAAAACACTTTCTCTTGAATGGGTCATATCTTTTGTGTCCCAATTCCTTGTTCAAAGTGTTTGAGTGATTTTGAGTATTTAAAGTGCTTCACCAATTATTTTGTCAATAAAAAGTATTCATGTGAGAAGACAACACACTTAAAATGATGTGCCGTTATTGGTATTATTGTAATCATGAGTGTGAGATGTGTGACGATGGATATTCCCTTATAAACAACATGCAGTGTGTTCCATGCGTCTCCATTTCTGAACATTGTGCGGTGTGTGATAAATAATTGTATCGGTATAAAAAGTGTCAGACCAGTTTTTATCTCTCAGAAAGTAAATGTGTGAACTCGAATGCCGCTTTCTGTGTTGAAACAAATGGCGAATTTTGTACTAAATGTTCTTTTTGGCATTAAGTGAGTTCTGAACAGCTCAAACAACGCGAGAATAGTCCGGTGTGGTGGGTCATCTTACTTATAGTTATCACAAACACCACCATTTATCACACCCATCTCATTACTTGCTGCATTTGTTCTCAACAAACCGATTCAAAAAGTAGTTCAAATGACTCAGAATATGAGTGTACAGAAAACATGGTGATTTTCGATGCTATAAAAACAAAAGAGAAATGGAACTTCTTGAAACACAGTTTGGTGGAAGTGAGCACTTCACTCTTTACATTGGACGTGACAACAAACACATTCAAGTCAATGATTTTTATATACAAAAACTTTATAATATAATATAATAAAAATAATTAATAATATTAAATAAATGTTTTTTTTAGTGATAAGTTTTTAATTATTTAAAAATCATATTATAAATTTTTAGGTATTATTTATTCCTCAATAAAATAATTTGAGAAATAAATAACTTCAAAAATTTTATAGAAAAACATTACATATAATCAAAAATTGTTAATTTAAAAACTATAAAATTAATAAACAATAAAAACTCATATAATTAAAACCAACAAAAAACAAATAATGAGAGATTTTTATGAATCTTGATTTTCGAATAAAACAATAATAAATAAACTTAAATAACTACAAGTACTTGATGCCAAGTCAACTTGACCGCTACTCACTCATGATAATTTCAAAATACTTTAAAAATATTGGAGACTTTATTCGACTCATTCAAGTGTGTAAAAAGTTCGAAGATATTCCATCAATGTTCCATTACAACCCAATTTGCCTTCACTCACACTTTAATTTCTTTTCAAATGTCGAGACGTATCATTTTTACAAGAAAAGCGACAAATATGTTCCCGGCTATTTTCATTACGTTTATGATTATCAAATGTCTTACACCGAATACCTCAAAAAGAGGACTTCCAACTCGACTTTTACACATGTCACATATAACGTGGGCGATTATATAAAATACAAAAAATACGACGGAGCGACACATCTCAAAGGGAAGGCATTTAAAGATATATCCGAAGACGCAATAAGTTTAGACTTGAGCACTGTTATTTCACTTGGAGATTATGGTTTACAGAGTATGTCTACACTTACTTCTGTTGTACTTGGTAATAGTATACAAGAGCTTCCAATCAGTTGTTTTGAGAATGACGTGAAGTTAAAAGAAATCGACATTTCTCATATCAAAACCATTGGCGAAAAGTGTTTCTATTGTTGTGTGGAGTTGTCTGCAATTACATTAGGTGAAGTGTTATCTGTTGGGTTAAGTTCTTTTTACGACGCGTTTAACATTAAATATGTGAAGAATTTAGGGACTAAGAATTTGAACACGTTGATCAATTTATCTTCTTCACAAGCTTTTAATTCAATTCATCACAAATTACTGATCACTCAAAACGATATAAATCTTCTAAATAATTCTCAGCAAATCAACGCGTTTCAACTTCCCGTAGATGAATATGGCGTTCAAGCATTCTGCACTGTTAATGGTTTAGAAGACATGAACATCCCAAAAAGTGTCACTCAAATATCTTATAACGCACTTTCAGATACAAATTTGAAGCGACTTGATTTATCAAATGTTGTTGAAATAGAAGATAACAATAACCTTGACGGTGTCACGGCTCTTACTATTCCAGTGAATTTGTATTTCAACAGTCTCATCTTTTTAAACAACTTAAAACGCATTTCGGCAGTCGGGGGAACAGTTATTAAGTCGCCAGTTGCGTGTTTTATGAAAGAGATTCTTGAAGAAAGTGGATTGTCTAGTCAAGTGTATTTGTACACTAAAAAAGACTTTGAATTGACGAACGGGGTTATTCCCTTGTTTTGTAACCACATTGGGAGCGGGGTATTTTGCAATGTGAATATTGTGAATATCGAAATACCAAGTAATGTGACTCGTATTGATTGGGGCAATTTCTGGAATTGTCCCAATGTGGAGAAAATTGCGATTTTTTCTAAAAAGGATATTTCAATTAGTATCGAAAATTGTCCAAAACTACTTGAAGTGATCACTAAAACAACTGTAAACTTTGATGTTTCTAATTGTAAAGAATTAACAAAAGTCACTATGCCATATATACCAACAATATCTTTGTACAAAACAGTGGCATTTAATCATTGTAGAAATCTTAAAGAGATTGTTATTGAAAACCCCCCAAAAGACTTGATTTTCGAAGAAAGAACATCTTACAGAATTACTCAGTTGGTGAAACTTAACATCAAATATATGGAAGTTGCGTATGATAATTATATTGACGATGAACACTACAAACAAGAAGAACAAATTCTGGACGGAGTACAAGACGAAAATGGTTTTGATAATCAAGAAGAAGATGAGAACGTCATTTTAAAAACAGTTGTTATTCCAGAGGGAGTGAATGTGTTAACAGTAGGTTGTTTTGAAAACGTACATTCAGTAAGTAAAATCGTGTTCCCTTCAACGGTGACAAGAATACATGACTACGCCATTTCTCAGTGTGCTAATCTTGCTGAAGTTGAAGGGTTGACTAAAGAAGTCATTGTCGAACAAAATGCTTTTTATAAGTGCGACAAGTTGCAATTAAATAAATAAAAATTTTATTTCGAAACGTTTTAATATAATTCATTTCTTAAAACCCTTATTTACACACATGGTTTTTAGTTTAATATTTATAACCTTTTATAATTTTCCAATACACTGAAACTTCCCAAGAGCGGGAGGGTGTGGTAATTTTGTTCTCTCAAGAGCGGGCATTTTTGGCCAATCAAACCTTATAAACCGCTCGATAAAGAACTCTATTTTTAGTTTCAGTCTAAAAATTCCCGCTCTTGAGAGGTTTTACAGTAATTAACACTTTTTAAATCTAATGTTGCAAATTATTTATTATTAATTACTACTTCTCTCTTCAATTTCTTGTCTCAAAATTTCCATTTTCTACACAGTTAACTGCCGATGAGAGTAATCAACATGCAAAAGAGTTTGATGCTAAAGTTGCTGAAGTGACGAAAGAACTTGGAGAATACATTAAAGACAAAAGGACGGCTGATTGTGAAACTGTATTGCATAAAAACCCTTTGACTTATTAAAAATATAGCACTTTCACACTTGAAAGAATTGTCAAAAAAGCACTTGTCTGCACAATCCAGAAGCATTGACTCTGAAAGAGTTTTCAGTGTTACAGGAATTGTTTTGACTGATAAACGAAACAAAACAAACCTTCACACTGCTTCAAAAATCACATTTTTGAAAATTCAACTTGAACCCAATTAAATTGTCTTTGTTATTTGGCATGTTAGTATTTGACTTGAATACAAACAATTTCTGCCCTCGTGCAATTTATCAGATAACTTTTTATCGTCTTTTATTTCAAAGTTGAGACCTGCAAAATAAATCTTAATTTCAAAAGATAAAAATACCTATTATTTTTATAGTTATTTCATTATTTTTTTGCCATTATTTTTTTTTATTTTTTGTGGTAAGAGAATGAAGTTTTTGAAGGCATCAGAAAAAAGATGAAGAAATCGGCATTTTTTTCTTTATGGTAATGAAAATGTTTTTGAAATTAAAATAGCAATAATAATGAATATTGTTTTTTTCATTTTGTTGTTGATCTTTGATTATTTGGTCAAAATAGGATCTATCTTAAAAAACTCCAAGTTCTTTGGAATTTGCATGTTGCGATTATTGAAAAATAATGATTGTCTTATGCAAATGGAATTATAATGTAAAAGGGGCATTTTGGGTATTTGTGGTTTGCGATTGCGCACCATAATAATTATCAATTAAATTTTTTTTTTAAATTATAATTTTTATTTTAAAAATTTAATATTATAAAAACTTTGAATCTTGACTTTTATTTTTTACATAAAAACAATAAAAACTGAAATTTAAAAATCAATACTGATGAGAGTCAAATTAGAAGAATTTTATCTGATGAACGTAGTTCTTTATATTAACACATTCAAATCTCTTTTGACGTTTTCTACGATCAATAAAAAGTGTATACGTGTGATGAAACGCCTTCAAATCAATCCTCTTGTCATTGAGAAAACGCGTAATCATGATTATTATTATAAATATGAAAACTACATGACAGATCATTATTCTCTCAACGTTTTAAAACTTTTTCCAAACATTAAGACGTTGTATCTACCTTCTTACCGATTCAAAGTTCCAAAAAGTGTGACTTCTCAAATTCAGTATATCAAAGTCGCAAATATGAACGACAATGAATTCCAAATACAAGATGATACATACTTAAAATCAAATGTTAAATATCCAATTGTTTCACAACAATTTCCTTTCAATGTAATTCATCCTGAACATCAATATAAATTTCAAACTTATGTGATTAATTCCATGAAAACTTTTCAATATTTTGTTGACAACGTTGACAATTTGTATAACGTTAAAGACCTTGCAATTGTTGTTCCTGATAAAATTAAAGACAAGAATGATACTAACATTACAAAAAATAAAGCAACACTATTATTACAGTCCATTCAAAATAAAGTTCATCTATTTTTGGAACTTCACAACTTAAAAACACTGCGAATTATTTCAAGTGGCAAATGACAATTAAAACACTTTATTCCATTAATATGGCAAAAGGAGGACTTTTTCTTGATAAAATTTTGTATTTAAGAAACGACAAAATGACGACAGAAGACAGAGAGGTGTTTGGGAAAATCAAAATGTATTTTAAAGTGATGATTATTAAAGTCAAAAATTTGGACACATTGAGTGAACGGAATGTGCAAATCTCTTTTTATAACTTTGAAAACAAAATACATGTTGACGAACACAATATTCCGTTAATTAGAAAATACTCAAACGACGCTTTTAAGTGTTTTGAAACAATTACTTTGAACAAAGAGTCTCAAAATGACATCGATTTGGCGCAAATTAATACGAAAAAATTGATTGTTAATAACGAAAAAGAAACCCCTTGGAACTATCAAATAGAAATTCCATCGACTCTCAAATATCTTTCTGTTGTTGAAAATGGAGTTAAAATAGTATGTTCCCAAAATGTTGAAATAGAAGTGGCCAAAACACTCAAATTAAATACTTTAGTTTTGGCCGACTCTTTCGACTTTTTTGAATTACCCGAATACTCTTATTTTGTTTTAGAAAATAAAGACATTGAATATATGAAAAAGAATGTGACAAGTGAAAACGAAATACAAAACTATTCCAAAATGACTCAAAAGGAACAAAATGAATTCAGAAATTTTTTAGTGTTAATGAAAGACCTTCAAGTTTTAGAAATTGAAGAACATTCTCAATTATTGTATGAAAAGGTCGCTGTCACATTTGTTCCAAAAGAAATTACAAGTGACATAAAATTGAATAATATAACAACTTACAAATTTAATACATACAAATTAACACCAATCGAATTTTTAACTTCTTTAACTAAATTAAAAATTTCCTCTATTGGAAGAAATGTTTTGGATTTGGATACCATAAAGTTAATAAAAATCAAGTGTTATAATATTGGTGCTATAACAATCAATGTAAATCCCTCTTTAAAGTCCATTGATCTCACTGAATGTTATAAAGTACATTTTGTATGTCGAGTAGGTGTAGTTTATTTGACTCATTTTGATTCTTTTCACACAAATTACACAGAAGGTACAAACATAGTAGTGGACTATTTGATTCCATATAAAGAACGGTGTGAACAAGGACCTTGTTGGGCGGATTCTATTGGAAAAAACTTTAATTATATCAAAGGAATGGTATATTCAAATGAGCCTTACACGTCCAATGCGAATGGGTATTACTCCCCTAATGTCAACGAATTGCCTTATTTACCAGCAAACATTCTTATAGACCGAATGTGTTACAAACAAGATGCATCTGAAATTTGGTTCAAAGCTGTCAAGGAAATTGGCGATTATTGTTTTGAAGATTGTGATTTTAGATATAACAAGAAAATTGAACTTTCAGAAGGACTCACCTCTTTTGGGTTTGGTGCATTTTGTGGTGCAAAAAATCTTGTGAAAGTCTCTCTGCCTTTAAATTTCAAAAGGCTGCCATTTAAAGCATTTTACAACGTCACAAGTCTCGCCGAAATTGAAGCGAAAGAAAGTCCAATTGAAATCGACGACTATTCACTTTATAAATGTACAAATTTAGTGAAACATCCCAAATTTGTTCCTATGA